ATGGTTATATTTTGCTATTAATCACCTACATGTAGAGCCCTCTATTGAAACACAGAGGCACTGGAACTAGCATATACAAACCCTCAAATATTTTAATGCAAAATGACGACCTAAGGCTATCCAATTCACTAATACACTTTATGTAATTTAGAGATGGAATTTCAAGGTAATGGTAGATGACAGCACTTTCATTTCTAAAAAAGAAACAACTCTTCGGATCATTTTAAATTAGCATGTAATAGATATGTACAAGCTTACAGATTATGGAAGAAGTAATAAAGACGGGATGAGACTTAAATACCAAAAGCCTTTCATCCCAGAGAATAACCCAAATCTCTGATAAAGTTTAATGACCAGTGTATTCTCACAGAGAATAAATACCAAAAGCTATAATCTTGCAGTTTAATTTTGATAGCTGAACAGGGTTTGGGCTGCGATTTCTGCAGTATTGCTAGTATGATTGAGGTACGCATTGATCATTTATTTCTCCCTCCCCTGAACAACAACTTACATGACTAAAATTATCTTTTCTGAAGATAATATCCTAAAACTAAGTGAACACAGGTGCATATGAAAAGCCTGCCCGGTGACTGTATGGTGCTTTTTTATCACGCAAATAAAGAAAATCTCAAAGGCTCGCTGTAAATGCCAACGTTATATGTTTTATTTTTAATCAAGTAATTCTTTTGAACCTCACAATATCCATGACTGACAGGAAAAAAAGACATTAGGCATGAAATGAGAATATAAAATACATGATATGTAGAAAGGCAATCAGTGCTTTAGTCCCTCAAGACAGTAAGCAGGTGAAATGACCTTCGAAACTTCAACTCACTGTCTTTTTCTTAAAACATAAAATTCAAGTGATTTTTCTTTTATTTCACCTTGTAAACATACAAGTCAAAATGGACAATGAGGTAATCTATGCTACAGAAGATAATTTAAAAACACTAGATAAGACACAGTATTAAAGACATATAGAAATCAGTGTTCACTTTGGTCTCTAGTATGGTTATTGTTATTATTACCACAAGCAACACATACTAGTTTAAGCCAGTCTGGTGATATTTGTCAGCCAGTTGTTGCTTAACTTAGTAATCCAAGAGGTAGTCAAAACCATTATCCTTTGTAAAGATGGTTGCTCTCGCGTTTCGTTCAATGACAATGGTAGCAAATACCTTGGTACTTTTCAACATTCTCATAAAAACACTGCCGAAGCTGCTAATATACAGCTCCAGTTTAGTATAAAAAAAGAAGCGTGTGTTCATAGATCAACCTCTTGTTATCAGTCAACAGTTGTAACAGGGGTAACACAACCAACGGATCTTAAAGAAGAGGCTGTTGATATACTAAGCAAAATAAGATCGATGCATTTAACAAGGCTCTGCTTGTTTCTAAAACAATACTCAAATCTCATTAAGACTTCTAGAAAATTAAAATCAGTGCATCTGCACATGTACATATCTTCCCAATTACTTTTATATCTAGCACAGGGGAATACATATATATTTTTTATGATAAACATTTCTTACAGATAAATTAATTAAATTAAATTTAAGACTCAATGAGATTTCCCATGTTCTTTTATAATTCTTCTTACAAAGAATGTTACAAGATCTATAAACACTATGGGGCTCTATTCACAAAACTAAGTATGACTAAGCAGGAACTCCAGGATAACACTGGTGCAGAGTAAAACTGGGCTGAAAAAGGTGGCCTGCAAAGGGAGGAGGTAGGATCCAAATATGGTGTTTGGCACTCCCTGAAAGCTGGCTAAAAGCAAAATATTGCAAATGGTATTACAACGCCAGATTTACCATCAACTGCAGCAGAAAGTTATTTGGCTCTTCCTCCAAATACAGGTCTTCCTCATGGCCTAACTTTTGTAGTGTGTAAATAAATACCATGACCTCTCCTTGGTGGAAGAGTAAAAAATACCTAACAATGTCCCTTATGATTAAATCGAATTGAGTATTTTGGGGTGGGGGAATGGGAGGGAGAGATATTCTTGTTCCAAGTTTAACCTTATCTCCACTATTGTTAGGAGAAAAATACATCTCTCTGAGCAGATATTTGAACTATTTCTACTCAAACGAGTTTTATTGTGAAGCCTTCTGGCAAGGACAGGCTGGTGAATAGGGGAAATCTAGGCTGAGCCAATGCTGCAGAATATTAATTTTGTCCTTAGACATGAAGGAAGAATCCTAAACTCAGTCTGTGCCTCCTCCTTTAAAGGGTTCTTTGCTTATTTGGAGCAGCCTGTTGAAGAAGTAGAACTCGATTTCTTTCCTACTGCAGCCCAGTGCTAATTAGTTACCTGCTGCAACTTGCGCTGCTGTATGTTTAACTTAGGCGTGTACGTTTTTGTCTCTTCTGGAGATGTATTTATTTTTGTGAACAGTGCCCATAATCCTTTAGGCAGAAAAATAAGAACTTTCAAAGAAATGTTTGGAAACGTCTCCTAATTTCAAATGGATGCTTCATCTTAAACAAGTATTTGCCATAATGTATGCAGTGGTGAACTATCAGTTACACATTTAGTACAGATAAAAAGTATGTACCATAGATCAACAGCCACCTTTAAGGCTAGAGCAGCACAAAGGTGTGTTTATGCAGTAAATATGAGGTAGCCTTTTGCTGTAAACAGAATAATAAATTTATTGTCACCTATGTAAACAAAGTGGGCTTGATGCTTTTGTATTTGTATTCTTCCCCCTCCGCCCCCCGACCCCCATCCCTCCCATCCTAGAAAAGCTAAGCACCAGTAACTCCGACTGGAAGTCAGTGGGAGCTGTGGTTACCCAGCATCTCTGAAAACTCAGACCCTGTGAATGTAAAGACACAAATGCTCACATAAGCAACCAGTACAGAATACCACTTTATCATTTCACAGGAACTTATAATACAAAATGCTGAGATCTGATTATCAGAAATGTAGGTCTATGTCAACTCAGAGGTAGTTACTAATATCAGTACATAATACTTATAGAGAGATAAAAAGGTCTAAGACTATTCGATTTGTTCTGAGTAAGCAGGTCTGTAGACTATTCTGTAAAGAAAAAACAACATTACATGGTATATTCCCTGAGCAAAGTTCTTTGTCCTGAGTATGTTATGTAATAGTGATAACATTCTAATATATAAAAATAAAACCTTAAGCTTTCAACAATAAGATAGGGTTTGGTATGTGCTCTTAGCAGTTCAGTCTGACTTTGGTGCGCACAGTGATTTCAAACAGCACCAATAAAAATCTGCATGTTGAAAATATTTCCTTATCTCAGCTCTGAACTTCTTACATATAAACAGGGAATGACCAGTTTTCAAATCCACAATTGCCTATTTCTATAAGGAACTTTGGTTTAAATTTTCAAAGTGACCTAAGTTTTGCATCTTTGCTGTTTAACCTGGTTTTTACACCGGCTAGAAGGTTAAGCAATGCCACTTTGATTTGTCTACATAATTTAAATAAGTTTACTATCCTTACGTAAGGCAAGGAAGTTCTTCTCTATAGATATATCACATTCAATATCGTCAAAGGTAAGCTTTGCATTAGCATACTGAGAACTTCAGTATAAACCATCGAGATTCTCGCAAACACTGGCAAGGAATTCACACAAAATAATCTTCTTGAAATTGTGCCCTCCACTGAGGCGTTTGATTACTACCTGTTTACTGAAGCAGCAGCAGCAGCAACAGTAAAAGTCTCATCTGGCAGGACAAGTGGGAAGGGGAAGGCCACATAACGAGCCAGCGGCATACCTGTTGTAACTATCGGCTGCAAAAGAGTTACCACGGGTAGGACTTTGGCTCGCTGTAGCCTTTCATGCAGGCTGTTTCTTTAGTTTGATTATCCGAGCTTAAACCTACCTGACTCTTTCAAGCTTTAACAGCCCGTGTTTATTGCCAATGTTAAGGATTATACAGGTTTCTCTAATTAACTTACATCCGCAATGGGATTTGTCAAAGTACGTTATCTTACGTATGACTTGGTAATTCAGAAGTTACAAATGGAAAGCGACTTCAAGTTTTGATAGGCTCCAACTCTATTAACCCCGAGCAAGGGCTGCAGCCCAGGGAGTCTCACTCTGAGGCCACCAATCTTACTCCTCTTTAATGCAGAAGTGTGTGGTCTCAGCGCACTCTGGACCAAGGCTGGTCAGCAACAGTGTCCGGTTCATAAGAAGCAGATGACGCCCAGGGCTTCTGGCAAATTTGCAGGTCCCTTCACTCAGGCTTGCCTGCAGCAGACACCTGTCCTTCTCGACGATACACATGCCGTATCATCAGCAAGGGAGGCTGGCTGAGCAACCGCAAGTACCCATCTACCTTTATCCTTAAGAAACTATTTATCCCAGGATCTCATTAGCTTTGCATTTAGTTTTCTTTAAAACCAAAACAGACAACAACAAAAATCCCTAGGGAGGTCTCTCCATAGCATTTCAACAGAAAACAAGAGGGAAGTCCCTTCAAATTGAGGGGCACTACTCGGGACCAAGAGAAGTTGCTACTGCTGCTGCTACTACTGCCACCAAGGTCCCCTAAACGTTCACAGAATACAAAAGGTTAAACAGGATGGTATCCTGATACCACTCAAAAGGGTCTGTTCGGTAACAACTTATACATTCTCCCCTACACAACAGTCATCTAAATTACAGTTACAACCATATTAATTTAACAAAACATTTTGAGAAACCAGCACAGGAACTACACATTCATTGTCTTTTCTGGAGCTTTAAACTCCTCACCAACAAAGGATGGTGGCAATGAGAGCCGTGTTGAGTCATGACACCGCCCTGCATGGGCACGGGGAGGGGAGGGGTTTTGATACTTTGTGGAGATGAGAAAGAAAATAACTCAAATTGATGGCATGGGGGATGTCTTAGTATCTCTAGTACCATATGGCAGCTTTAAAATATGAAAGTATCCTTTGGTTCACAAAAGAAGTAACAGTCTTGATCTCGTTTCTGTATGTGGTTTTTCAGGTTTGGTTTGGTTTTGAGTGAGATTTCTTGGGTTATCTTGTTTGGTTTTTTTGAACACGTTTAGAAATAGATTCTAGGAATGCATTCGGGAACATTTGTGGATACTGTGCCTATTGCTTCTCAGTAATGTCTTGTTGGAGCTGGAGAGTGGTCTGATGGAAAAAAAAAATATTTATAGATAGGTACACATACACACACGCGCGTGCACACTCATACACACACATACAGAAGGTAAAATGTAATGCACCCTGCTCAAGTGTATTTTGCTTGGAGTGATTTGTCTATTAAAGAAAAAAAAATTCACAGTTCCTCAACAGTAGTTAAAATTCCAGGTCAGCTACTGATAACGAAATTATTTCCCCTGTATTTGCATGAGGTAGACATCCCAAGAGGATAAAGAAAATGGAAAGTTATGACAAACACTTTAAGTTTTTTTCCTTTTCTGAACAGAAGGCCCCTTTCTGCTTGGTTCTTCGGGCGACGCAGACAACTTACTCGACGAAGCCTCCTGCGGTGACCTGCCCGAGCGCTCCGAGATCTCCAACCTGCCCTCCTGAGAGTACGATGGAGACGAGTAGCCGTGCGTCCCTCCCCCTTCTCTCGGGAAAGCAGAAGTGGAAGGCTGTGGCTCAGCTTCGTGTCTTCCCTGAGAACTAGTGGGCTGCTGCGAGACAGTTTTATGGGGGCAGTTAGCCACCATGTGCATGATGCTCTGACAGTAATGGCACTTCTTTGGCTGCGGAGGTAGACTACATTCTTTAGCGTGGTGGTCGAGGCCACCACAGTTGTAGCATCTAAAAACAAAGAGAGACAGCTAGTTACAAAGTGCAGCGCCAAATGGTAAGATTTTCTACGTCAGGTAAGCTCAGCGTGAGCGTGCGCAAGGTCTGCCGGCGAAACAGCGGGGGCTTCTGCACCGATACCCCACCGCCGCGGGCTGAGGTGCATTTGAGTTTTGCTTTTTAAGTCATTTGGAAGGTGCCCCTTTGTCGCGCCGGTGCCAAAAGACACCTTGCGCTTGGGACCGGGGCCCCCGGCCTGCCGGCTCAGCTCTGCCCACCGGGCCGTCCCCGTCCCCGGGGCGCGGCCGCCGCCTCCCGGGCAGGGCCCCGGCCCCCGGCCCCACTAGAGGGCACCAGATATTCGAGCATCCCGCCGCCGCCTCTGCTTACCCAGGTATTGGTAGCACGAAACGCCTGCGAGCACCCGCGCTTCAACGCCTGACAGGCCCCACACCGCAAAGCGGGGCGAGGGGAGGAGGCGAGGGGGCCGCCAGCACCGGCCTCCGCACCCTGAGGCGGCTTCACTCTGTCTGCGCCCCTCGCCGGGTCGGGGCCATAAAGAAACGGGCAGAGAGGAGATGTTCGGCCTCAGATGCACCCGTGTCCCTCTGGACATGCTGCTTTCAGCCAGGGAAACCCAAATGTGGAGGAGGGACGCGGTGCCCTGTCACTAGCCAGGCTCTCGCCCAGGGCCCACACCTTGCCTCCTCCGGCTCAGCCACAGCATGGGGAGCGGGGGTGGGGGCCAAGCTTTTACAACGCTTACGTTGTAATAGTTCGTAATAGCATTTACGGTTTCGATTTAAAAGAAAATAAATAAAGACCCGGCAGGAGACACCAAACAGGGTTTGTTTACTTTCTCTCAAAATTCCCAAGCCATGTGCAAGTGGTGGAGACCCGGGGTGCCATCTCCAACAGGAGCCGATGGGCGCAGAGTGCCTCCTCCACGCTGCACAAGGCCTCCCCCCCAGTTCTCAAAAATGGCTAAAATCCACTAAATATTCTTCTATTGACCTTGTTAGGCAGGGGAGTCCTGAAGAAATCTCCAGCAATTCCTTACTAAATCCTCTCGCTTTGTAACACGCGCCAGGAACGCCAGTCCTTGGATTACGTTATTCTAACACGATACGAAGGAATAATTACACACCTTTGACATGGTGACCCTATGCTGGTCATGTTCACCACTGAGCTTTCTATGTTGGCTATTTTTCTATGGTTTCTGTTTCTTTGTTTTACAAAACTTGCACTGAATACATAGAAATATAATTTATTAGAATCTAACACGCTGCTGGAGAGAACTAAACCAATAATGATGATTTCTTTTTTTTGCCTTCCCTTAACCAACAACTGATTTAAAAAACAACTGCACAAATACTTAGGCCTGGTGCAGTCAAGTGAAGGATTAAAAAAGACTGTAACTATAACTAACTACATGTACAAAATAGTGCAACATGTTCTGGCTCGAGCCCACATAAAAATATTTTAAATTTTCAGATTCCTGGAAAGTAACACGGCAATGTTTCAGCTAGCATTTAGTGGTCACTACTAGTCTATACAAAACCAAGAAGTTTAGTCCATGCAAAGCTGTATGTACAGCTGGAGTCTCACCTACAGAATATACTTTACCTTCCAAGGACATGCTATTGATAAAACCTGAGTAATTTTTAAAAAGATTGCAAAATGGCTGTTAACATTTGCAAATCCACTCAAGAACAAGCCCTAAGCATCTCCCTCTTCATCTCTCCTCTTCACTATTAGCAAGATACGAACAGTATCTTTATTTTAACAGACAAATGAAAAAATAGCCTAAGTTGCCCATGGCATGCTGTCATGTCCTACAAAACTGACCTATAATTTAGAGAAGTTAAATGAACAGAACTTCATTATCCTTTCAGAAAACATTGTAATTAAACTGTCCTATCTTTCCTAAAAATTAATAAGAAACAAGAAACAAAACCCATTACACTGAACTCTGCACGTCTATGATAACTGCAATAACGTATTTTAGATGAACTGGTTCCATTTTTACGTCACCACTGCACAGAAGTTTTATGTGACTTTTTCAGTGGAATTTGAAGACTATGCTTACACTAGTCTGCCTGCACGTACTACAAAACGATCTATGAAGAGACACAGAATATAAAGCTTCCTTTGAATCAAGCAGAAAATTAACATGTACAAGCCCTACCATCATTTAGTATTGATTTCCCTAGCAAAGACATACTAAATATGTTGTAAAATACAAACATCCTGATCTAAGACCAAAACATCAAGCTTTTTTCCCCTGTAATTTAAAAAAAAAAAAAAAAAAAAAAAAGTTTTAAGTTATTGAACAATACCCATCTGACTACTTTTTCCCAAATCATTGCAGATATTTTCAGATTAATGACCCCCACTTAACAGTAGCATTCCATCTTCTTAACTGATATTGAGCTATGTTTTCCCGACAAGCCTTCTGAATACCTTCTGGATAAAATAATACAGAAGTAAAATTTGCAATTAGAAAAACAAAAGAACAGCAACAACAAAAACTCTTAATATTTTACTTTCTCCCCCTCCAAGAAATACATCTAAGAATTCACAAATGTGAATTATTACATTTTAGGTTATATTAAAGAATGATGTTTATTATTATCTTCTTCATCGGTTTCTAGCAGCGTACTTGTTCCTGGGCTAAGCATAGTGTAGTACACCATAACATGGGAGCATGCAGACATTCTGAAAATCGTACATTTTATCTTAATTCAGAATACAGAATTTTATAGCTGTGAATGCATTTGCACTTGCTTCCTTCCCTTAATAGCACATGTATTTAGAGTGGTTTAAAAAAGAAAAAAGTTTGAAAATAGGTTGAAGGGCCTCAGTAGCAGGGTAGGCGGTAGCCACGGACAAATCAATTTAATCAGTCACTATGGTATGCACTGCGTTATCCAATTCACTGAACCATTTCACCTCACCAATTGACCAAGAACCTGCTGTCAGGGCCCCTGCTTCCACTCAAGAGGCCTCCATCACCTTTTGAATATATATTTATCAATACATCCTACTTGCAAAATATTGTAATTCCCTACATTTATTCAAATTTCTGCTAAGATGTCACCATAAAAGAAAACTCTATCAGAAGCAGCTGTGATTAAACTATGATTTGGCTTTTCAGGAATGTTTTTTGTTACCAACCAATCTGTCTCAAGTGTCGCATTAGAATATGTATGCAGCAGCCAGGTGTGCTGGTTTTGGCTGGGATAGAATTAATTTTCTTCATAGTAGCTGGTATGGGGCTGTGTTTTGGTCTGGTGCTGAAAAGTGTTGATAACACAGGGATGTTTTCATTACTGCTGAGCAGTGCCTACACAGGGTCAAGGCCTTTTCTGCTCCTCACGCCACCCCACCAGCGAGTGGGCGGGGGGGGGTGGCGCAAGAAGCTGGGAGTGGACACAGCCGGGACAGCTGACCCCAACTGACCAAAGGGATATTCCACACCATATGATGTCATGCTCAACATGTAAAGCTGGGGGAAGAATTAGAAAAGGGGGGGCATTTGGAGCGATGGCGTTTGTCTTCCCAAATAACCGTTACATGTGATGAAGCTCTGCTTTCCTGGCGATGGCCTGCTGATGGGAAGTAGCGAATGAACTCCTTGTTTTGCTTTGCTTGTGTGCGCGGCTTTTGCTTTTCCTATATACCTATTAAACTGTCTTTATCTCAACCCACGAGTTTTCTCGCTTTTACTCTTCCGATTCTCTCCCCCATCCCACTGTGGGGGAGCGAGTGAGCGGCTGTGTGGTGCTCAGTTGCTGGCTGGGGTTAAACCACGACACCGGGGTGTGCCTGGACTTAAACAGGAGGGTGGTATTTATTCAGCTCTTTTAACTATTTATTCATTCCTTGTCAATCACTCTTACCAGAACAGATCACACCCTGCTCTGAAATGCCTTCCCTCTCAAGGGATTTACACCAAAATGGAAATTGTCAGCCACCTCAGAGCTCACAAATGATACTGTATGGCATCATCCATGCGCATTAAGGTATGGCATTAGTCCTTTTGTCCAAAATGCTTCAACTCTTTGCTCCTCTCTGCTGTATATACTTATGTTACAACATAATGAAACCTGATAGCATATGATATGCGTACACAAGCTTATACATCCACATCTCTATATACATAAATATATAGAACAACATACAAGCTGACTCCTGCTAAGAAAATTAGCAAATTCTCATTTGAGTATGTTCTCAGAAACTCTAGATTAGTACAACCATAACAAATATTTCTTCACTTCAGAAGCACCATGGAAAGAACCTATGTTAGCTTGAACACAACATAAAAGTTTATATGTAATTTATATCCCCAAATGAATAAACCAGAAAAAGCCCTTAGAAGTGCAATTATAGTAGAAGTAACCCTTACAAAAAAGCAACAGCAAGAAGGATTTGTTAAAATAGGACTGTCTTTCTCACAGTAGGCTCCCATGATTTATTAGGTAGCTTCAGGCTTAAAAAAATAACGCAACAGAGTAAATAAAGAGATGGCAATTATCTTAACGGGGAATCCTTTCTTCACTACAGCACTGACAGGAAGGTGAATCAGGGTTATTTTTTGATATAAAAAGATGAACATTTTAATAAAGAAACACCTTGAGGAACTTGTCTACATTGTATTTCAATATTCTCAAGAAAACAGTAACGTTAATACCTACTACTGAAGAAAGAAGAGAGCATATAGCAAGGCTAAAAAACACTTCTAAATTCTCCTTCACTATGGATTTGTGATTGCACAGAACTATACATATTAAAGGAAACATGAACAAGCAAAAAGCATACAGATTCCAACATAAACTATGTTGTATTAATTGCAATAAGCTGATGATTGAAATTCATTAGAACTACTCAATTTCCCAAGCAAGTGCAAATGCAAAATAAAATACTCTCTACTCTTCAGCTTTTTTCCTTGTCCCAGCAGTCAACTCCTGCTAAGGAAGCACACCCTAGCCCTATCCCTTTTAAAATGACAA